ACTTAGCCAGCTAGCTAACCTGACATCATGAGACATTAATAGTTATGTTCTCTGATCTATTCTTAGCCAATTGTGCACTCACCTCACAGCACTCCCATCTCATCCATATTTTGCTAGTAGGAAAAGTCATGTGGAACCATATCAGATATCTTACAAAAGTCAGCTGTGTACACCTTATTTCTTTAGCCACTAAGCCCATTATTTTACCAAACAGGAGAGTAAATGTCTCTCATTTTAGTTTTGATTAATCCAAATTTCTCTTATTTTAGTGATCCCTTGCTTTCCATGGAGTCTACTTACGATAACATACTCATTCACCTAACTGAAGCTAACCTTACTTTTCTGTGATCCTCAGAGCCAATGTTTGTGCTATTCTTGCTCTCCTCCTTGTGCTATTTCTGGTCTTCCTGAGACCCTTCACATCATTCCAGAGCACTTGTCAATGACTGAGGGCTGTTCTGACACATTTTCTACTAATTCCCTACATTAAACCTCTAGAGAGAATGTGATTCAGCCCTGTCCTTTTCAGTATACTCAGTATATATGTATACTCAGACATGCTGAATCTATTCATCCCTGTTCTGGCTCCTCTTTCTTAAATACTAAAGGACAGGTCCCTGGTTAACACAAGCAGTAGATACACTGACAACAGTGAAGCTTATGCCTTTCCCTCACCATTATCACTTTGTCTTGTCATTTCTGTGTTGTCTCTGTGCAGTTTTGGTTACTTGTCCCAACCTGCAAGTCCCATATGACTTGTAGACACGATGGAAACAACCCTAGAAAAGGAGAGGGATTCCTATTGCCTATCTGCATTAAGGTTTTTTTCAGCTCAGCTCTGAAAATCCTGGATCCTAGAATTTATCAGGTTGGCTGAGAGCCTAAGGAGTTATTTACATAATAGTTTCAGTGTGATTATTACTCTAATCACCTTGAGATTTGAGCATGTTGCATAATTAAAACGCAGTATGAACGTTGCCAATTATTAGCAGCAATTTGGCTTAATCCCATTACTCCCCGTCAGCTTCCACATGTGGTCAGCCAAAGGCACTGCACCAAACATGCACCGAGATGGGCTGAGCAGCTAATGGGTATGGGGCCCATGGGGAGATACTGCTGACCTGGGCCCTCCAAGGAGCTTGGAAGTGCGACCTTGGAAGCCTTGGAAGGGCGAGAACGGTCCTCGTCAAGATGGACTCTGCCTGAGGAACCGCACTGCAGAGCCAGGGGCCCTGCCCGGACACTGGCACCACAGGGAACCACCAGTGTCCCAGCTGATTGTTTAAAAAAAAGCACTAAAAACATTTAGAGCCTGGAAATACGAGAACAAGAGTGAGTATACGTCTTTACTTTAGGGATCCGGTAAACTTCTCCAAACATCTTCAGATACTAGAGATCTTTCTAAGAACATTATATCCTGCTGGATTTATTGAGTGCATATTCAGCTAAAACCGTCTCTCTGCCAGGCTCTGAGCAACAACATAGCAGTGAGGAACTGAGCAGAGAGAAGCAGAGCAGAGCTCCATCAACCAGCTTTATTTACAGTGCTGCAGCCCACAGCGTCTTCCCCTGAAACGCTGGGCAAGAGCGATGCCCAGAGGGAACGATGCTGGATGTCTCCAGCAAGAACCCCTGGGGAAGATGGCCAGTTGCCTGTTACAGTTTCTGCGATTGCCCAAGAAGGAAGGAAAAACTCATTCACACTAGCCAGGAGAGCTAGCACTACCCTGTGAGCTCTGTCTGCCCAGGCAGATAATACATCAGCTGGAAGAATCACCTCTGTGCTTCCAACAGAAGAATGTAAACCAAAGGCATAAGGATGAAAGGCTGTGCTCAAGCCTGAAAGTGGATGGAGGGCTCTAGGTGCACTGTGTTTATCTCAGTATTATCTTCTTTACTAATGCCTTCCAAGCTGCAGAGCTTTCAAAACTAAATGTTAATACTAAGTAGGAGACTCTTAGCAAAGATGTACAGTTCGACCGCATATACCAAGATAGTTTTCTATTTCCTAGGTAGAGGCTATTCCCAGGTGGTTCTCCTTGTTCTCCTAGTGGTTGGCTGCTCACTGAGTAGCAAGGCCCAAGGGTTATTCAGAATTGCTTCATCCTGCTGGGAATTGCTTCATCCTGCTCCCATAGGATCAATAGTTTAGGCCATGAATCTCGATTTCCTTGTGGTCCATGCAAAATTTCTTTTTATTCTACATTAAAGCAGGTAGAGTGGGGACAATTGACTACTGTCCTAAACCCTTTGGTCTTCTAGGCTGCAGAGAATGGTAAGACCATTAAAAGAGCCTGACATCCAACATTACAGTCACAGCTGACAAGAGTGAAAGCCAGGTAGAAAATGTGGTGCAGCAAGTCCATGCTGCCATTCGGGTACTTTGTTCTTTACACTCCTGCATCCTACATGCACTGTAATAAGCTGAGAGTTGGCTTGTTCCCCTCACCCTGTGTGCAGAGAAGTGTGATTGCAGTCACTCTTGGAAGAGGAAGTCTGAATGACCTTCCAATGAATAGGCTGTTTATTTATAAGCAAACTTTCTCATCAAGTGATGTTGCTGCACATCCACTTTAGAGAGGAGGATTTGCTTTTCTGATATGGAATGTATTAACTTCGATGAATCTGCACAGGCAGCCAGGTCCATATAAAGCAGAGGAGGAAATTTCTCCACCCATTTTTTCCTCCCTTCCCCCACCATACATGGAACGGCTCTTGAATCCTAAGAACTAAAAATAGTCCAGTGGATAAGTTTAAATTGAGATATTTTGAAGCACTTCTTGCAGTGACAAGAATTCCTACAGTGTGATAGCAAGTTGGGACTAGACTGCTGTCCTGCTGTGTCTGTCTTCCACCAGTGAACTGGGGAGAAAGCCTGAGCTCATTCCACGTGTGAGACAATTTAGAGTGGGGGTGAAATTACGGCACACCTTAGGGTGCCCTGGTGTCTGAGGAGAAGCAGCCCTGGCTACTGAAGCCTCCCGGGTGGGACGAGCATCTGTGCAGAAGGGAGACGCCACAAAAGCCATCATGAGCTGTGGGGGATTGAGGAGTTTTGCCTGTATCAGGGATAGGCCGATTCTCCCTGCCACAAGCCCCTGCTTTCTGCTAACCTCCTGCAGCTCAAATTCTTTTATTTCTGTTTTCCGTCTTGCTACGTCTCCTTCCCTGCTGCGCTGTCCAGGAAGCACCGAGGTCACAGCCAGAGAGGACATGGCTTGAGCCCTGACACTGACGATCAATTAGGAACCTAAAGCTCCCCATCTTCCCCGGGACTTAAATTGCCTYCTTAAATGGAGCAAGTGGCTGGAAAAGAAATGAGTTTGTACTTTGCTCCTTAAGACTAGCAAAATACTGGCTATTAAAATAATGGCTATTAAAATACAGCCAAAAGACTGGCTAAAATACTGGCTATTCCCAGATAGGARTGAGCTCCCATAGTTCATTTAAAGTGGAACAGAAGGTCCCTGTTTGCTAGTTGTCCTCTTTCCCCACTGAGCAAAACAACAAGGTGCACAGTAGTCACCGGAGAGCCGTGAAGACTGTGGTGCCTATGACTTGTAGGGCAAGTTCCCCCCACGCTCAGTGCCCTGGGCAGCATTGGAGCTGGCAGCCCAGCAAGCTCCTGGCACCGGCTGTGGCCTCTGGAGGATGCAGGGGCTTGTCCCACAGGCTGGAGAAGGGAGCCGGCGCCAAGGAGCAACTCCTGGTGGGGAACGTGGAAGGAGAGAGACCCAAACCTCCCTGCTAGGGCTGCTGCCTCTCTCAGGAGCTCCCTTGTGGCTTTGCCGGGGATGGAGGGACATGACAGCAGCAAGCAGGGCATCACTGAGTGCCTCCTCCTCCTTCTCCCCGTGCTTTCTTTCCATCCCATCCACTGCCAAATCATCCTCTTGGGCTGCTTGTGCTTGCCACTGTGCAGTGGATGCATCTGCCTGTTCTGCTCCCAGAATCAAATCCTTGGCTAGTGTAACCTTTATAGTGCTCTAGCATAACCAAGACAGAGATGTGCCTTCACGTTACTTGTTAATTCAAGAAAAGGCCGAGCTTGTATGTGAATTACCATGAAGGGCTGCCATCCATCCATGGCAGGGCTATGCTGTGACTCTTACATAAGGACACCTCTGGTCAGATATTATCCAAAAGGTGGGGGTATTAGGAAAAATAACATATTATTTCAGTCTGCACTGCTTCTAGGAACCCTCCCTCTAGCTGCAAATAGAGTTGCATCACCTTCTGCCATGGGATATTATCTTGCCATTAGAAATGCTCTGCATTAAATACGTGGTTTCACTGGGCGCCTTCTCTACTGACGCTGTCCATGGAAATAAGACTTGATGTGAAGCAATTGCTCATCCACAGCTAGCACTATCAGGTGGCAGCAAGCAGCTGAACATGCCTTTCCCAGCATTCGTCTCATGCTTGTGCATTATTCGAAGGGGAAAAAATAGCTCCATCCTCCGGGGGGCTGAAATTGCTGCTTTCTCTGCTCTCCTAAGGAAAGTGAATGCCCGGCAGGCTGGGGAGAAGCATGAGGCACAGGGTCAGTTGTGCTGCTCCATGGGGCCTGATTTACGGAGCCAGCCGAGTCTGTCCCCTCGGCACAGGGCAGAGCAGCAAGGCAGTGTGTCCTGCCCCAAGGAAGCAGCCGAGATTCGAAAGCAACCTCCAGAGGATCCCTTAAGCAAAGCAGAGAGAGGAATGAACGTTCAGCCCAAAGAAAAAAGACAGGCTGAGCAAGTGTCCCGCAGTGCTATTTGCTCTGGAAAAACGTGCCTAGCATTTAAAGCAGAGAATAAGAGAAAATATGTGCATTTCATTTCTACTAACTTCCCTATATCTCAGTTTCCCACTGTCTTACCTGTTGCACGGGGCACCCCACATGGKCTAGACCCGGTGCCAAAGCTGGAGCAGGAGCCCCAGCCCCTGCAGGGCCGACCCGGCTTGGCTTCACCCCACGCCAGAGGAAAGACCCCCATTGGCACCCGCCGAGGACTTACTGGCCTGCTTGGCCTTCTCCGTGTACGTCGTCGTCAGGTCTTCGTCGACGGGGTGCTCAACGGGCCCCACCATGGGGATGAGGTGGCGCTCGGCGCGGATGGCCTTGGTGGTATGGGGCAGCAGCAGCGCCTCCGGGGAGGCCTCCCGCGGCAGCGGCGAGGGCGGCTGCAGCTGCCCCTCGCTGTCCGAGAAGGGGGTGTCCGCACGGCTGCCGGGCCGGCAGGCGATCTCCCTCTTGGCCACCCCGCCGGAGCTGGAGCCGGCGGCGGCCGCCTCAGCGCCCGGCGGCACGGCTGCCTCGGGGGTGCTCTCGTAGCCGCTCTGCTCGGACAGCGACACCTCGTCGGGAGGCGCGTCGGCCCTGCCGCCCGTGCTGTCGGGCGGCGAGCGTGGGCTCTTCTTGCGGGCCCGGCGCTGCTTCTCCTGCGCCACGGTGTCGGCGTCGCTGTCGGTCTCGCCGTAGTAGGCCTCGCTGTCCGGAGGGGACGTGACGCTCTCGAGGCGCCTCTGCGGCCTCCGCGGCGCCGGTGCCGCCGCTGACGGCTCGGGGCTGAGCAGCCGCGCCGGGGGGCTGAGCGGGGACGGCGGCGAGAGCACCCGCTGCCCCGGGGACGGCGAGCGCTGGAGCCGCGGGCCCGTCTGGTCGCCGCCGACTATTCTGTGGGGAGAGGGAAAGGAGGCGAGTGGGGTCTGCGTGACAGGGGCTGGACAGGAACTCCTGCATGGGAGGAGAGCCCACGTGAGGGAGGAACGGGGGCTTGGGTGCCTTTCAGGGATACAGGCACCTGAAGTGCAGTCACCAAGCTGAGATTCATCTCTGGTATCAGCTACGTGTGCTCATCCAGATTTGTGCTTTTGGGCCTCTTTGCAAACCCAGTGTTAAACAGATAAGAACCAGAGTGGCCCGAGGGCATCCACGCTGCATCCGCAGAGGCAGCGTAATCAGCTCCCGGGGCGTCTGTCCTCGGGAGGTGAATTCCCACACAGCCAAGACCCCAGGAGGGAGCAGTGTGCGCTCCCAGGGCCCAGCCTGCCGCTGGTGGGCGGCACGGGGAGCCTCGGCCGAGCGGGAGCCGTGTGTGCGGGCAGGCAGGGCGGCCTCAGCACTGCCTTAGCTTGCAGGGAGCTTCAAAGGCAGCACTCGGTGCCGTGTGTTTGCCCTGCCCTCTACATGGGAGTAAGTGGAAAATACTGAAGAGAAAAAGGCCCAAGCTGTTGCCTGGGGTGCGACCCTGCTGGACAGAAAGGTCCCATCAGTGGCCTGCTCACTCTGGGACTTCTTCATGAGCAGGCACGGGTTTACTGACTGTACTGCAGTCAYGCCAGCCAGGCAGCTCCATGGAGGCATTTTCTTGCCTTAGACATACCAGGAGGAAACTAAGGACTTGGCATGTTTTCTTTGTCAGTTTGTTGTTTTAATTATGTTTGCTATTATGAACTCTTATTTGGCACCCCCCGAAAAAATGGAAGTCCTTCCTTTTCTTTAAGTACCAGACCAGATAAATGACAAGCATCACTGCTTGTGAGGCTGTTTGTCTTCTGCACTGGGCACTCAGGTCACAATCTCTCACCCCCTCTTTTCACACACATCCTGTCCCAAACAGAATCACACATATGACCTTAGATACTCCAGAGTCATCCCACTGCCTCCGTCTGAAAGGAACGGCAGGCTGTTTTCCGCAGGAACAGGCATATGAAGTTGGAATAGAGATGTGATCAGACAGCAGTATTTGATGAGTCCTCCACTAGCCAAGATGAAGCCAACCAGTTGGGTTATTCCCAGACCATCTGATGTTGGCCTCCCATCCTGCCTTTGTCACTTTGCTAATTCCAAGTGTGCTGATTTTGGCCCGGTGGAATTTGCTCCAGCACCTGTTGGCTGCAGATAGGTTCCAGTGTGGTGAGATAAGGCTTTGGCCTGGGACCAGGTGCTATTCTGGCTGCCTCCTGCAGGGCTCACTCATCACACAATGACAGCCGGGGGATTGGGTGAGCACATCGGAACACACCAGGACACGTTTGCTGAAGCTGAGGGGAGGATCCTTCGTGGTGACACTTCCCTCTCTGAGGACTGCCCATGTCCATCTCCCCCTTAGAGACACCCTGACCAGGATGGCTCTTCCTCAAAACTGCTCGCCCACTGTTGGCTCTCCACAGGACTGMAGAAGTCACATTGCCCAGGTCCCCTCTGTGCTGGTAGCAGCCAGGATTAGCTGGGACCTCACAGAGCTTTGCTGCACTTGTCTTCACATGATTAATTTGCACCTTGGCCCTCATCCAGCATGCATCGAGGCCCAGGGTTAACTTTGGCACTGGTGGAACCCGTGAAGTCACTGGGACCATTTTTATGCTTAAAGGTGAGCCTCGTCTCCAGTAYTCTGCTAGCCTAGAGACTTGGCCTAGAAAAAGGGACTCACCTGCCTTTCTCTTACTTTTGTGGAACTCTTTTCACATCCCACTGGACTACCATGAGCTCCTGTAGCAAACCTTCTGGTAATCTTCCCTGCACTCCTTGTCTTGAACTATCCCACATCATCAAATCTATTTCCACAGAATGATCAGTTRTCTGTAATGAGCTGAACTCTGTGGGGCACTGCTGTATGGCAGCTGCCTGGTGGGAGTGTAAATAGCTTGTGCTTTGCAGCAACGTCCAGCTTGTGCTTTGCAGCAGCAGATCTCCCTACAGCCCGAGGGGCATGGAGACGGTCCAGAAATCTTGGACAACCAAAAAGCCATGGGCAGCCCTTCTGGTGCGAGTCAGAGCATGAAGAACCCAGAGGTTTCCTGCCTGCCTCCCTCTGCTGCATGTGGGTACCCGTGTGCTGCACGAAGGTGCGTGGGGCGGCTATTACCTTTTCACGCGGATGTTGAGCACGCCGTTGGAAGAGTCGATGATCTGCATGGCAGAAGCATGGGAGAGGCCAGCACACGACTTCCCATTGATGGACACGAGCACATCGTTTTCCCACAGGCCTCCACGACATGCTTTGCTTCTCTTCCGGATCTGGAAACGCAGAAGAGAGAGGTTAGGGATGAAGGGAAGACTAGCAGCTCTTTAGTTCAGTGGCTCCTTCCCTGCTGGCCATCCCTGGAGGAACCAGGTATGGGCTGAGAGCAGTGTGCTGCCAGGGAAGCACCAGTGCTCTTGAGGGAGTCCTGCCTGTGCCGCAGAGCCTCTGCATCCCTGCTTATTCCAAGGWCACGACGACTCGAGCACCAGCCGGGTTTGAGTCTTTCAGTGCAAGTCACCACCTACATGCCCTAAGTTGCAAAGGGAGCCTGCAATTTAGAAAAGGAGCAGGACCTCTTTCCAAATGACCCAGGTACCTGGCTGTTTGTAAGCACTTCTTTGGCAGGACCTTCTGCATGTCCCAGAGCCCCTGCAGACACCTTCCCAGGAAAGAGACCTTGGGAAGGATGGGGCTCATGGCACTTCCTGCTGCAAGGCTCTCATTCCTGTTCTCATGGTCACTACGTGTCTGTACTTCTCAGGCCGTACAATGTCCTGTCACAGAGCATAAAGCTGGAGTAACAGAGCTGTGCTCGATATGCACAGCTGTATCTGAGAGYACAGTCTAAATCCCGAGTTCCAGGCTAGGTTCCAGTTCTGTGACTTCTCATGACTTTCTTACCGTGTGATTCTTCTTTCTTTCCCTCATGCAAAGTAAATCTCCTATTGAAGCCCCCAGCCCACTGCCTCACTGTTACTCAAGCAAGCAAAGCTAATGCCAGCACAGCCCAGAGCACAGACCTCTCCCCTGCAGGCAAGCAATGTCTTCTTGGTAGGACTGTTTGGGACCCATAAGGGACTCATCTTGCACAGGTAAGAATAGCCAGATAAAATCAGGTGCAAGGCAGTAACTCACTGCACTTGTAAATGCTTCTGGCAAATATCTTCAGCTCTTGCAGTGTTGTTAACTGAGAGACAAGTCAGAGCAGAGCTGTTCAACAGAGTGTCCAGCAAACTACCCAGAGCAGGTCCCTGCGGGGAGGTGATGTACAACAGGCCACCTTCACCTGTATCTTCTAGTCACACGACTGGGCTTGTCCGGAATCCTTTGCAAGTCCGTGGGGCAATGGCACAAGCTACTGCCCCTGCCTCTGCAGGCAGCCTGGGAAGGCAGCCGAGCTGGGAGGATTTCTGCCCCACTGGTGCTGCTGTGAGGCAAGGTAGGAGGGAAGTGGGAGCGGAGTGCTCCAGAGATCTTTTGGCACCGCTGGCCACTCTTGGCGCCCCTGCCCTTGGCACCCAAGGGGTGTTTGGGGCCCCTCTCTGCAGGCCCGGGCTGCACAGCAAGAGCAGYGCCCTCCGGCTCAGCCCGACTTGTGCGTTCACGGGCACTTCATCGCGCTGCAGCCCTCCAGCTTGACCCCAAAATTTGCCAGCATGCTTAAAATAGGGACTGGCTCAGCCCAGCTGCCACAGCCATCAGCCCCTGTCATCTTAGCCCTTTATCTCCCTCCTTGTTAATATAAACAGCCTGGAATGAGAACATGTGGGTCTGCAGTGAAGTACTGGTGCAGAGGCGCTTTGCTGCTGGTACAGTACGAATGTCCCTTGCCGATCCTGGGAGCAGGAATGGCAGCGCTGCTACCCACTGACACAGCAGCTAATGCAGAGAGAGGCTAAYGTGTGGCTAAAAGGAAGGTGTCCCCATGATATTCCCCAACAGGCCAATGGCTGCTCCAGGCCACATGTCCAGCCCTGGATGGGGATGGGATTGCTGAGTACCTCTTCCATTCCCCCTTGTGAGAAGAGGACCAGTGGCCAGCCCAGGAAAGACCTAGAGAGACTGAAAAGAGCCTGTCAGTATTCCTGGCATTCAGCTGCCCCCTGGTTTATAAATCCCACCCCAGGAACATATAGATCTCCTTCACAGGCAGAAGGAAACACAGTATTTGYAGGTTCCCTTTAGCGAGAAACCCCAAGCTCAGTGAACATGCCGGGGAGGAGAGCAAGGGCCTCGAGGGCAGAGGAGGATTGTGCAGGGAGAGCAAAGCACAGAAAGGGCAGGAGTTAATGGCAGGGTGCCGCGTGCCAGGCGCTGGGCAGCCTCTCGATGGAGACGGCTGCGCGGCTGCCAGCTTGCGCGGCGTCCAGCGCGGGGCTGCCGAGACCTTTAGGGAGCAGCAGGGCCCGCGTGTCGCGGCGCGGGCAGCACCGAGCCGAGAGCACTGACAGGAAGGTCARACTGCCCTCGGCGCTGCCGCTGCCCCCCGTGCCCCAAAGATGCCCCCTCCTGGGTGAGCCCTTTGCGTGGGCTGYGGGCAGGGAGAAAGGCGGCACTGGCAGCTCTTCTGAAACCCTGCCAAAGAAGGGCAAAGTGGCTTTGTAAAGAGAAATCCCTCTTGCTTCCTGCAGCAAATCCTTGGAGCACTTGCCTGTGCGCGTCGGGAGCAGCATGGAGGGACGCGGAGAAGGGCAGCTATGGACTCGGTCCATATGCGTGGTCTCCTCCGGGGCAGACAGGAGGGGTTCCCGGCTGCCTTTGGAGAGAGATCCCTCATCCTCTCAAGGACCCGCTGTACTTTCCATTCCTTGTCTCAGTGGACGTGCTGCTTCCCTGAGGCACAGCAGGGTTTCCCTGGAAGGCCTCTCCTGCCTGGATTACAGCTGCATTGAGGGAATCCCAGTTTAGAGGTTTATTCATTTATTCATCATATTTCCAAGCTATTGAAAATATAAATCAATATAAATCTAACTGATCCTATTGAATCAGGCAGGAGAGAAGGGGGTGGAAACAGCTGAGGGGAGAATGAAAGGAAAAAGTTAAGGGCAACAAATGAAGAGGAAAGGAAGAAGAAAAGTTGTTGTAAGGAAAGGCAGTGCTCAGAGAGACCCAGAGGCCAGCACTGGRAAAAGGTGTTAGCAGATTTTTCCCTGTGTTAGCAGACTTTTCCCTGTTAAGTCCTGGAGAGACAAAGGATGCAGTGATTATTGGACGTGTCTGGGGGCTGGTGGCCCAGCTTTGGGGCACGGRACGGCGGGGAGGAGGGGGCAGCAGCGGCAGCATCTGTCCTGCCCCGGGCACTATATTTAGTCCGCGGTATGTGRAGGGTGAGCACACGCTGGCATGCTAAGAATAGAGTAATCCTGATTATAACTCAGTGGCTTCATTCCTGCCYCAGTACAGCACAGGGAACCTGTCTGGAAGCTCTGCAACCACCCTGCCTGCTGGGCAGCCCCTCTTCTTCCTAAGAAAGAAAGTCTGTTGTGGGCACTCCGTAGTGCTTGCAGTGCCTTTCAGGAAAAAGCTGTAGCAGCTTCATGCCTTTTCCCCATTGCCTCCCCACGGAGTCTCACACCTCCTCTCTTTCATCAGCAAGGTTTAATCTGCAATATAGGAAGAACAAATTACATTATCTGCCTGCCTTCACCCTAACCTCCTAATGTATCTTTCCAGTAACCATCTAGCAARCAGGTGAAGTCAGAGCTGTGGAGCAACCACAATTGCTGTCTGCATCTGATCTCCCCTTCTTCTCCCTGGCTGTGTCTCACATCATAGAGCTGCTCCCTTCTCAATGCACCTGCAAGGGCATGGGATGCTTCATAGTAACCTGGGGATGTTTAAGTTTCATTAAGGTTTCAGCCTTACATGAAATGTAGTCCTGCCATGGGGTTCCACCAGAGATAAGAACTGCCTCCCTGTAGTATAAAGTGGTATAAAGCATTACCAAAGGGGAGTGAAATCAGGTAGGAAGTTAATAGCCAACCACCATTTGTGTCTGTGTCTCTCAGGGCTCCCTGCTCAGCCCACTACAGAGGCAGTGGTTGGTGTCGTTGGTAGCTGCTTGAGCAGAAGCACAGCCCACCAGCTCCTCTCTCTGAACATTCTATGATCTGTTCACATCACTTTGGTTAATGGAGCAGATGATTGTCTTTCCTCCCAGACCAGCATCTCATCTGCCCCTGCATAAGGAAAATGCCCTTGTGGTTTAAACACTGGAGTGGGATTCAGGAGACCTGCATGGTCTTTTGTGCAACCTAGCAGGAAACGTCAAAACTGCACCGCAGATAACAGGCGTCACAAAAGCAGGAAGATTTTCAGGGCTTTTTGCTCTCACTCTTAAATTTTACGTGTCTCAGCTGCCCACCTGAATGTAGATCTCCAATAAGGTATTTTTTCTCTCTATTAAGGATGTGAATAATGTCACATGTCTCAGCAATTTTACATGAGATATTTACTCCATTATATTGTAGTTACACTAATCCTTACACTTCTTTAGTTGCAGTAACTTCTTGCCCAAACACCATATTCTCACTTAAGAAGTGCCACTGGGTGCCTGGCTTCTTGACAAAGCAGGTCCCGTGTTCCTGTGGACCTATTTCACAGGATATCTGCAGCAAGACTAGTTAGGGGGTGCTCACCTGGAGAGAAAGAGAGAACAGAAATTTTTCTGGACAGTAAATGAAGAGAACAAGGGAAGGGTGGTGAAAGAAAAGATCTTGTGTAGAGGCAAAGATTTGAGTGGCCTCTGGGTGAGGGGACCTGGGGATAAAACCTGGTAGCAGCAGAAGATGCTGGTGCTGGCCCATCTGCCAAGTGAGACGAGACTCCTATAATCCATCCCCACCTCAGTGTACTGGCAAGGGGGATGCTGCTAAGCCRGTGTTGAGAAGAGAGGAGAACAACTTCTTCAGTGTCCTGGACCTAGTTCCAGTTTCTACCAGGTGTACAAAACAAATGAAAGCAGCCGGGGTTGCTATTTATCTCTGCTTTTTGAAGCTAAACACGCTCAAAAGAACATTTTGCAGTGATAATGGGGGCGGTGGCATGTGTGCAGGGGACAGAAAAAACACCCCCAAATTATCCACCTTCTTTGTCTAAATGAAAAGCTTGCTGCTAGGAGCAAATACCTAGCCAGAGCTGACTGTAGGTATGTGAAAAGAGACTTTATCTCCATGCCCTTTTATTACTTGATGTGAGAGTAGCTGGAAAGGGAGTGAAGGGCAATGCCATTGACAAGGAATAATGCGACACAGGGATGGATCCTAGCAGAATTTGACAAGCATTTGGCTTTCAACAGAATGAAATAGCAAGGTATCAAGCTTTTTCTTTTTTTTTTTTTTTTTATGAAGCAATGATGCAGAAGAAACAGATATATATGTGAAAAAGCAAGAGCTCCTGTGCCTGCCTATCGGTTCTGGAACAAAAGAGATTCGATCCTCGTACTGTCCATGTAGATCCCTTTCCAGAGGCTCAACCTTGCTTTTTCTGACGTCAGCGTTTTTAGGATCAAACATTACAGCAATAAGAGCTCATTAAGAAAATCTACCCACTAAAATGTCTCTAAATAGGGAGAAGCACCAAGCTGGGCAGAAGGATAAGGGGAGCCTTGCACACAGGGCAGACCCATCCCAAGGTACAGCTTCTGTCCTCCAAAACAGGGCACCCTCAGCCTCCACACCCTATCCTTACACTGCACTGTTAAAGGGAGCAAGAGCTTTGAGTAAAACTCAGAACAGAAGATTCTGTTTAGTTAAAACAAGCTACTGCACAGACTCTTCACCTCGGCAGGGCCTGGAGGGGAAGCTTTTCTAGCAGTGCCCTTTGAAGGGAAGTTTGAGACGAGCTGTGAAAGCAAAAAGCGGGAGGCGGCAGGAGCCAGGCACACGAGGTGGGAGAGGTCCCTCAGGACAGAAATGCCCGGGAGACCTGAGGCCAACAGTCTCACTTTGTCACCATCACGACGGCCTCGTGTCCTCTGCAGGGAAGGCAGCCAGAGGAAAGACAGTAGACAGAATGAAATGGCTCCCTCAGTGAGAAGGGAGTAGTTTAACAGATAGTTAAAGATTAGCCACAGGTAAACACAGAGAATAAATCAAGTTTCTAACTCTTAGTGACTTCTCAATCAGACTCTAGAGCAATCTTTCAACTCGTGTTATGCTGGCAGAAAGATCCACCTGCTTGGTAGAACTTGATCAGTTTGTGATGTCCCTCCAGTCTTGCTTTAGAATGAGCTACTACTCCCACTTGCCATTTTCTGCGCAATTTCACTGAACAGAAGCCGGTCTGGTGTAACACACAGCCCCTGCCTTGGCAGGAGGGGCAGTTCAGAGGGAATGACACAAGCCCCAGCCTGGTTTGCGCAGCCCATCTGCTCTCTTCTCTTGCTCTGGGGAGCAGGGCCAGCACGGGGCTGCCTCACTTGCCATCCATCCTTGCAGCCTCCCTGCCCGGCYGTGCCCTGGGAAGCTCCCCAGTTCTGCATCCCGCACTCTTGCCGGGTCAGAGTGCCAATGGGCTGTAAGGCACAGCCAAAAATGCTACAAAAGCCACTCCAGGYTCTCCTTCTACAGGGCTGAGGCATTCACAGACCCACAAGACCACACAGGTGACTGCTGTTTGTGAGGCTGCCAGCAGAACGGTCTCAGGTGGGGCCTTAGGCACCCATGAAGGCAGATAAAGAGCAGTGGGTCTGCCTTTCCCTGGTAGGACAGAGGAGGGTAGCACTGCAGTTCTGCTTTCAGATCTTCTTGGGCTGGAGCTGGCAGCCCCCAGCAGGATGGGCACATGGTGCTGTACCAGGGGCTGGCAGAGGGGCAGGAGAAGCAGTGGACTAGGGAGTTAGTTACTCCTGGCCTGTCTGTGCTCCTCGCTCAGTGATGAGGTTATATTTGAGCTGTGTTGCCGCTGTTTGCCCAACATCTGCTTGTGGACAGCAGTTGTACCTTGGGCTAGGTGAAACAAGGCTTCTCTCCTCCCCTCCTCTCCTGTAGTTTCTCTACCTTGAATTATTTTTCTTGAAGGTGGCTGTATCCATAGGTGTGAGTATTTCCAAAGAATTTTCCCTTTTGCGTTACCTAGTAACTTCAGTGTTTTCCTATATTTACTGGGAACAACTCGAGCAGAGCTCACTTGTTTGTTGGCTCTTTTTCACAGATGAATTATTTTGCTGGCCTGTAATCCTCCTGTGATTCATTAATATGCCCAGGTCTGTCTCTGCCACTATCTCAACCAGCCRAATAGCTTCTAATTTCCACTGATGTTTTTAGCATTAGTTCTGGACCAGWCTATGCTGGAGGTACAAGTGCTTTTCTGGCTTGGTAAAGTAACTGGTTTTACTCGGTGGAATCAATCTTGTTTTGTAAATGATTCCTTAAAGACAGCTCCGTATTGGTTTGTACCATCTTTAAAGCTGCCCTACTAATCTTGCTAAAATGTATKTCTGCAGTACAGCTCCACATTATATTTCTAGTTTGTCTGATTGTGCACTGAAAGCTCATACCTCGTAACTTCTGTTTTATATTTTGTTTAGTTTCAGATGCATTTGTGCTCATTTTCTTGCTGCAAAGACATCCTCTAGGAATCTGCTGGAATTATTTTCCTTACTGCACTCTCTTGTCAGAATGGCTAAGTCTTCTAATTATTTATAGCTTCTTGCAGGGATGCTGTACCCATCAGGGCCATCTATGTTTCCCCTTGTCTTTCTAAAATAAAAATCTTTCTCCCTACAAATCCATCTTGTTTCTATTTTTTATGCCTGTTTTTCTGTCTTTCCTGATGATGGATCCAGGCCAGAGGTTTGTGCTGTGTTGTTTTGTGCTACTGAGCTATTGCTTAAAACGACAGCACTGGGATCTCATGAGACCCCAGGTTTATCAGCTCAAATATTTCCTGCACTTATAAGATATTCATGTCTGTATTTCCTATAGCACCTTCTCTAGGTTCATCCATATTGTGTCCTTCCTCACTTTGTGAGGCAGGCCTCATTTGTGAGGCAGCCTCACAAACAGACAAAATTGCCAATAATACTAGCACTAATAATACTGTTGTGTTAAGCCAAGTTTTCCTTGTCTCATGTAAACACTTCCCTTTCTTCCCAGCTGGTCRGCTTCCCAATAGACCCTTTTATTTATCCAATCTGCCTTTCCATGCACGCGCACCGCATTCTTCCCTGTGCTGACAAACAAGGTGCTGCTGCCTGACCTCAGCTCTGCGGGCCAGGCTGCCTCGCGGGGCCGGCTCCCGCTGCCACCGCCTCGTGCGTGGGGCAGAGCCCCCAGGTCGCTCATCCCCACCCCGGGCGTCCTCGCTCCAAGAAACCCGCAGCGGTGCCACCCTTCCCTGGGCAGTATCATGTGGCCCTCAGCCCTGGCCAASCTTAACAGCCATGAGGCCATTCCCATCTTTGACTCCTAAAATATCCAAACACACAGTGATAATGATTTCAGAGTGTTGGGACGYGTATTGCAGGCAGTATTTTGGCCCAGACCTCATCCTACTAATGGTCGGTAGCAGAATCCTGACTACAGAAGRTTGAAGCGTTTATTTTCCATTCGAAAGTGTCCAAAACTTCAAGGTTCTCCTCTCCTACACAGAGGAGGACAATTAAATCACTCCAGGACTCCTGGAGATTTATTTTCTTGTGAGCATTCAAATTCAGCATTCTGATATAATTCTGATATAATCTTATCAGGTTCCCAGTAAGGAATCATAAATCCTTTACTTGAAGGCTATTTAAACACTGTTTCATTTAAGACAGTCATTATTTGGGGGTCACCTTTATTCCGAACTGCCATTAAATTCTGGACAATATTAACCCCAAATGATAATTATAAAATTAAATTCCTGCATGACCAGTGTTTTATATTTTGAGCTTCTGAGGGATTTGTAGCGATTATATTTTACACTTTTTTTTTTTTTTGCAGTAGTCAAGTATTGCACTTTTTTGGTTTTGTATTGCTAGATTTAAGGAACGGCACTTACTTCGCAGAGAAAGCTACTTCTAGCTAATACTTTTCTGGAAGTGCTGCTAATCCCTAGGCAATATTCTGTCCACTTAAGGTGCGACTTAGCTGGATAACGTTTTGCTCTTTCCTAAGCAATTCCTGAGCAATTTTTATATAACACACAGAATTTCCTCCATCTTTTTCTCAATTTTAGATCTGTTGGGGTGGGGGCAGGAGGGTATGAGTCAAAATAATCCTAGATTCTGCAAAATTTATGCMATCACATAAAATACTATTTTGCCAGCAACTGTTCATTGCAAATATGTCATGGATATTGATTCTTGGAAGCCCAATAATATGCATGGAATTTGTTTTCCGGGAGAAAAATAATCTTTCTCCTAATAAGAAACATCCACTTTGGGAAGATGCTATGGGATGCCAAACTATTTGGCTGCAGTTTGACACAAACACTCCTTGACCTGGGCACATTTCATTTTACAGTTCTGTGAGAGGCAGAGTCTTCCTAAGGAAACAGAAGGACTTTGGCAGAGCATTTGTTCATTCCTGCTGCTGGATGTTTTCCACGGAGATATCCCTGAATATCATTGTGTCAAGGCTAATGCAGCTGTTATGAGCTTAATCGACAGAGTAAGCTTTTTTCCTACTTTTAACCTGCTGAAAGGAGGTTCTTCTGAAAGGAGAATTGTACGGAACTGTTGATCAGCTGAATGTAACTCAAAGTTCATGTTTATTCCCTTATTTCATCTCCCATCCAAACAGATGCCTCTCTTTAATTCTCTCTTTAATTCTCTGCCTCTCTTTAATTCTCAAAATGAGACCAGAGCATCACGTTCTCCTCAGGCAGTATTCCCAAAGCTTCACGAACAGAACAGACCCTAGGAAATTTGTATCTATTTTGAAAGCTGGCCAGTAGGCATGAAATGTAAAGGACGCTGAACGTAACTGCAGAATCGGCTTTTGCTGATTTGGTTTTAGTTAATTCTGATTTAGTTGGATTTCTTACGCAAGTACTGTATGTACTGCGCTGTCACCGAGTTGTATCTCTGCTGGGGAGTGAACTGTGCAGTTTATAAAGGGACCTGCACCGAGGGAACGCTGGTGTCCCGTTCCAGCTCGGTAGCCTGCGTTTCCACCCCCATACCCCCCATCCCGGACCCTGCCTGCCCACTCCACGCARGTTTTCCATTCCAGCCCTGCTACCTGGGCAAGGCGCTCCCGCATTCCTGAGCGGGAGATGCCGGAGCCGCCAGGGACACGGGAGCCGGGCGCGGAGCCCTGCCCTCGCAGCTCCCATCCTGAGCTCCTACCTTGGACACCTGCAGGGGTCTCTTCTGCTCCGCGCCCCCCTGCAGCCGGAAGCCCCACGGGGCACCTCCAGACAGGCTGATGAGCATTTCTTCTTCGGCTCCCATGATTTCTGCGCTTAGGCTGCTGTGTCTCCTGCGTCACCTTCTTCCCGGCCTCCGGACAAACTCCAGCTCTCAGGGGGCAGCGTCTCCCGCTGCCATCTTCACAGCTCGCGACTCCGCAGCCCCAGAGGGGCCCTCTGCCYCCTTCCTCCTCCAAGCTCAGGCCAGAGGAGCCGCGAGGCTGCGAAGCCCTCCCTGCGCTGCTGCCCGCTCAGCTGCYGCTCTGCGCACTAGACATTTGATTCTGCTCTTGGTCAGGGGCCAGAGGTGTCCGGCACACGTGTCGTGTCAGTCTCGCCCTCGGTGTCCCCCCACCGCCCCCCCGGCACCGCGGATCTGTCGCCCAAGTGCGGCTGAAAATAGCTCACCTCCCGTCCCACAGCTTTGTCTGACACCCGCCAGGCTGCAAGCCGTGCAGCACAAACTTTATTTCCACGTCCCATCCCCACCGCAAACCCGGCGTCGCCCGGGACCCGCAAACCGAGATGGGCACTCGGCCCCTCGCGGCCCGGGACCCCACGGGGCCGGCGCGGGCCCCTTCCTCCTCCGCGGGGCCTCGTCCCGCGGGGCCTCGTCCCGCGCCGCCTCGCGGGGACGGCGCCCCACGTGCGGCCCCGCCGCGGAGCAGGCGGCGCCTCC